CGGCATTTGACTATGAGGCAGCGGTGGGAATTTCGTATCTGGCTGGGCTGCTGTATCATCTTCTTCTACTTCTATGGCACAAGAGCCCGTTGTTGAGCCTTGGCCTCCCTTATCAAGCCCCTCCATTCCTCTCTATCCTGCCCTGCTCTCTTCCAGTTCCTTACACCCATTAACTTCTTCGTATCTTCTTCCACCGCAGCAATTCATCTAGTTCTTGATTTCCCAGCATGTCTCCTACCACCTATTTGAACTATATAACATTTTCTTCGGGATACGCTCCTTATCCATTCACTGTAGAAGCCCAGCCCATTGCAATCTGTTTAGCTTTATTGTCACCGAGATCTCTAGCACCTTATATAATTTGTATAATTCTTTATTATATCTTATTTTTCATATCCCATTCTCTTTTATTGGTCCATAAATTCGTCTTAGGATTTTCCTCTCGAATGAATTGATGACTGATACCTCTTTCTTCTTTAGCGCCCAACCCTCACATCCATAATAAAGCACCGGTCTTATCATTGTTTTATATATTTTTGTTTCAATCCCTCGGTGTATATCTTTGATCTAAAAACTGATAATAACGAGACATATGCATTATTCCCTAGTTTTATTCTTCTTGTTACGTCATGATTTTCCTCTCCATCTTTGTGGAATTTCGATCCTAAATACAGGTAGTCTTCAACTATTTCTATCCCGTCCCCTTCCATGTTAATTTCTCCAGTTTCCCTTGGATTCCTTCTGGATTGTATCAGCATTTTAGTTCTATTTACATTCACCTCTAAGCCAGCGGTTTTGCTATGACTTTTATTTCTTTATATGTCTCCTTCATTGCTCTTAGGGATCTCGATACTATAATAATATCCACATACGCCATTATTTGCCTTTGTTTATACGCTATTGTGGTCCTTGTGTCTACAATAAATTTCCTCACTATATATTCCAATACCAAATTAAATAGTGATGGTGCCAAACTCTCTCCCTGTTTTAATCCTTGATCTGTCTTAAATCATTCCGTTAACTGGTTCTGAATGTTAAATTGATGGATTGTTTCTGTCATGGTTAAGTTAATTATTCTACTTACAAGGGAATGGTCCAATCCGACATGTCGAAACCTGCTGATTGTTTTCTTTTTTCACTGCAAGAGTACACACATAAAATCCACTGTCAATATTTTAGCTGCTAATACGCACTGCAAGAAGTTTTTAAAAATTGCCGAAGTTACTCATTTTTTGTGTACGCGGAAATGCTTGTACCAGAGGTTTGTACAACCCCAGCTGTGTACCTGTCAGATTACGATGCATCTGTGTCGCGTTATCTCTCTACCTATGCACCGGAAGCCTAGGCTGGGAGTCAGCCATATTGCGTGTTGCGTGCTGCTCTCCTCTGCTAGGGGTGGACATTTCTTCAAGGGTCTGGCAGGCTATAATATTGGCCATGTTCAGCAATTTTTAAAAAATACTTGCAGCGCGTATTAGCAGTTAAAATTTTGAGAGGGGATTTTTTGTGTGTACTCTTGCAGTGAAAAAAAAAAACAGGTCAGGTTTCGACATGTCGGATCGGACCATTCCCTTTGTTAGTTTTGCTGAAATACCAAAAGTGCACATAATCGTCCTTAATTTCTTCCTTATTATGGTATCATATGCTTGTTTAAAATCTATGAAGCATAGGTAAATATCTGTATTAAATTGGGAAGGTCCAGGAAATCCAGGCAGGACATCACCTGCTAGCCTACGCTGATTATGTGATTCTTCTAGGTGATAACATAGATACATCACAGAGAAATAAAAAAGCTTTAACTGATGCTACTAAGGAGATTGGTCTACAAGTAAACGCTGAGAAAACTAAGTATACGTTGCTGTCTTGTCACCAGAATGCAGGGAAATATCATGACATAAAATTAGATAACAGACGTTTTGAAAGTGTGGCACAGTTCACGTATTTGGGAAGAATTGTAACAAATCAAAACCTGATTCAAGAGCAAGTTAAGAGGAGACTGAACTCGGGTAATGCTTGTTACCATTCAGTTCAGAACCTTTTGTCTTCTCGTCTGCTCTCTAAAAGCATAAAATTTAGGATATACAAAATTATAATTTTGCTGTGGTTCTGTCTGTGTGAAACTTGGTCTCTGTCATAAGGGAGGAACAGAGGCCGAGTGTGTTGAGGATAATATTTGGACCGAAGTGAGATGAAGTGACAGGAGGTTGGAGAAAACTGCATAATTAGGAGCTTCATAACTTAAACTCTTCTCCAAGTATAATTAGAACGATCAAGTCAAGGAGGATGAGATGAGAAGGGCATGTAGCACGATTGGGGTAGAAGAGGAATGCTTATAGGATATTGGTGGGAAAGCCAGAAGTAATCCTTGGAAAAGAACAGGTAGCGGGCCTGTAGGCTATTTGGAACGAATAACCTTAAGTTGGGAGCAATCTTACATGTACACCCATTGCTAGCAACGAGTTGCTAAACTAGTTACAGCGAAGGCAAGATTGTTGGTAAGCAGTTCATTGCTGTGTTACATAACAACAGATGAAAGCAGTTCATTGCTATGTTACGTAACAACAGATGAGGCCGTGTTTTTGTAGATTCGGTCAACACGCCAATTGACTGGTTGGATAGCGATAACGTGATATGTGTTTACTGTAGTTCCGTGTCTGTGCCGAAGTTTTATACAGGAGAATGAGACTCGTTTGCAGTCAGTCGTAACTGAGAGACCAAGCCAAGGACACGAAGCCGTTATGGAAAGGAGTTGTGAGGAAATATTAATAGACGTTGAAGACTTTATGCGTACTGTAGTACTGTGATATATGGACTGTGATAGTGCAAGTTCCTGTGTTTAACTGCGTTATCAGGAGAGGACTACTGTATGTGTGTAACAGAGAATTATAAAGTGTAAATAAGCGAAAGCACTCTACTAATTGTAATTAAGATAACTTGTAACCGAAGTGCCAAGGATTCCAGTCCAACTATAACACATTATTTTCGTCACGCGTACTAACCTACACGTGACAATATATAGGTTAAAATCTGTCTTTCAACAAGGCCATGACAACAACATTTAAACTAATTACCTACTCATAATCCGTTATTGCCTTCTCATCTCGATCAACGGCACACATCCGCAGCAATTGATACAGTGTCATTTGCGTGACAATCAATCCCACAAAGTACCTGTTTCTATCAGTTGTACTGACTTTGAGAGTTCACGTATGAACTATGTATACATTAAATTTTCCTTTACTTAATTTAAATTAGTGCAAAACAAAGAGCTGCCAACATCTAACATGATTAACCTTTTAAACACAGCCATATGAAATGAGAAGTCAGTCTGGTTTTAATGTGAGCAGACGTTTAGATCTGTACTTAGCCATAAATAAATATTTCTAAACCATTCTGAAATACACAGCTACATTAAAGTAAGATTACATTGAAAGTAACGACAATAATGATGGCAGGAAAAACAACAGAAAGAGGCTAATAATAACTGCATGAACTATAGGAGGACAGTATATAGATTTATTGCATTTAAGTTGGACAATTTGATAAAAGTATACAATGTGATGATTCTGCAATCGTACATACCGAATAGTTAGTTCCTTCAAGGAGGATCTTCATTTTACCCTGTGAACAGAAAGAAATGTGTTTATATTTTTGAGTTACTGCAAGATTTACAAGATAACTGTAATTATATATATATGGTGTCCCAAGAGGAATGTGCCACACTGTGGGAGGATGTTCCAAGTGTTAAAGTATGCCGATATAACCCAAAATACCTATGTCCAAACTTGAACGGTTACAGAGATAAGCGTGGTTTTTCTGATTGGTCCATGCACTGTACCTGTCAGCTGACGTCTTATCGATGTTTGTCCTTCAGTGTGGTGATGACGGATCACACTAGCCACATACACTCGCATACAAGAATGCGCAGTCAGCCGTGTTACCTTAGTGCTTGCCATTCATGTGTCATATAGAGTGCTTGGAACCATAACGAAAACTATGACATTCTATGCGAGATTTTTTAGTTCAATTTAATGGCTTCATGTCACTCACAAGTTAGTTTCTTAAGTACATTATTAACATTACAGAAACCACATATTCCTGCCAGTTTTAATATATATCAACAAGTGTGTAACACCTGTCAAAGTTTCACAATTCTCTGGCACTCCATAAGCATTCAACTTTGGACGTAGGTGTTTTGGGTTATACTGGCATACTTTTAACATAAGGAACACCCTCCCGAAGTCTGGCACATTCTTCCTAGGACACTCTGTATATAATTTGGCCCACTGCCTAGAGAGTGGTACTTAATAAGTAAAGAATCAGTTGTCAAGGACCTTACCCCGAAGAAAAACAAACAGACTGCCAGAATGCAGCTGGAACACAAACCAATACAAGAGATGTATAAGAATTAATTCTATTGAGAACTCATCTACTGATCAAGTGACTGAGTTGCTGAAAGATACCTTTCTAAATATATGGAAATTTATTATTTTCCATATCCTTTCGAGGAAATTTGAATGAATCTCTCTCATAAAACATTTCAATACATCAGTTAGCCAAAATTGTTATTGCTTTGTAGTGGGCTACTTAGAGACTAGCTAGAAGTTATGAATAAATTATTGCTTCTCTGAAACTTACGTTCAGTCGTCCATCAGCGAGCATCACTCGACATGCCTCATTGATAACTGAAAAATAATAAATACGACGACATGAGAATGCCATACAGATGCACATTTACACTCCAAATATCTCACTTGTTACAGTAATGCCAATATCTTCTCTTTAAAATAGCAGGCCAAGCCCAGATAATTTCACAACACGCAACCCCATGAAATACACAGCGTTATTTCACTGCCCGTTTAGATGAGTGCAATCAAAATTAACTATACGTACTGGCTCCGAATACACGAGAAATCGGATATTAATTCACAAAAGCTAGCGGAAATTCTCTGAAATATAGAGCAGGCGTTGGGCAAATGGTGGAATGAGATCTGGTAGGAGAAACTGGAGCACACAGAGAAAACCCTGCCCAGTGCCACTTATTCCGTCACAAATATTAAGAGGCATTTTCTGGGATGGAACCCGGTGAAAGAAGATGGGTGAGCTACTTACCACCTGTGCTATGCCACGGTCTACTCTAACCCATACTTCATATCAAATTATGTATGCTAGCAACTGTGGATTCATTGTGTTGATGATTAAAATTACAGTATGAACAGTGTGCATTCATCTACTGATAGTCTCACAGGTGAAAGGGGATATCGTATCTGTGGCTTATGAATCACACGACAATACGCGCAACATGTTACACATTAAATGTAACTCGGCTATCAGGACGGGATATTCGCCACTTCAATGGAGAGTCACGCAGATCTCATGGTTCCGGAATCTGGTAGACCGCAGCGAAAGCCAACTCATATAGACCAACGAGCCTACTCCCAGTAAAGAACAAAATCTTCGAAAGAGCAGTACTCAAGAGATTACGCCAGGTGGTAGAAGAAACCAGACGCATCCCGAGCAGAAAAACTCTAACATAGAACAAGTATACTCCGAATTGCACAGATAAGAGGAACTGTACTGCTATGCGGCGTTCCCAGACATCACACAAGCATATGATAAAGTATGGAACCCAAGCCTCTTGTTCAGAGTCCGAGAAACCTTCCCTATGCACACTACTGAATATTCGAATCACATCTAAAGCGGCCCATACACGTACGAGTCTGGCTCACAAGTCCGATTCGGCTACAATTCTAATGAGCCAGACTTGTCCTTGTGTCTGTCGCAAAGTTGGGAGTCAGCTCATGGTGAAATTAATCAGAGTGAAGCTCGCCGAGCAAGAATCCTACGTGTATGGACCCCTTAACGGATAGACCCTCTCAAGTAAAATTCAAAGGCGAAACCAAAAACTTAAGGAAAACAAAAGCAGATGTACCACAACGGAACGTCTCAGGACCTGTCCTAAATCTTATCTACGCAAGCGACCTCCTGATATCAGACAACACAACAACTGCTACCTCCGCAGATGTTACAGCAATCTTAGCCACACATGAAGGTCCAGCGATAGCCTCAATGAAACTCCAAGCCACCATCAATAAACTTGATTAGGCGAAGAAATGGAGAATTTAAAAAATCGAAGCAAATCTACGCAAATTGCATTCATCCCACGCAACCAAACCTGTCCGACAGTGCAAATGGACCATGTTGAACCACCCCAGAAAGGAATGAAATATCCTGGCATGCATCTCGATAGAAGACTGAGAGGGGCAAAGCACATCAAAACCAAAAGAAAACAGCTCAACCATCGAAATTCTGCAGTGTTTCCAATCCAAGACCCTCTGACCAATCGGAACGCACCTTGGTACCTAAAAAACCACAGGATCCATGAAGATCTGCTAATGAAAATAGTGCTCAGTAAAATAAAAATGTGGAATACCAAATTCTTAAGAAAATTAGAAAAGCACACAAATGCACTAGCACTGAAAGTGTTAGACAATAGCGAAACTACATATAGACTGAAAATATACACCGTCATAACTCTACAAGAGAGACCTGAGTAAAACCCCAATACAAGCATTCAAATTATATATAATTGGAAACAAAAACGAGTATGAGTTACGACACTGGGCATAACTCATTCACGAGCCAGTACTTACTGAATATATTTATTTATAGCACTCTGCAGATTATGTATAATGTGTGAAAAAGATGGGATCTTAGATCGGGAATAAAGAACTTCACAGTTATTATATGTACGTTATTATATTATGTACTATACATGTGAGATTTGTCCTCACGTCAGAGAGGCCGACGCAATCAAAAAACCGTAACTGTCTGTAAGTAACTAAGACTTGGTCATGAACCCCACAGGGGGTAAGAAACCAAAACGGACGGACTGACCGATCGTCGGTCGAGATGTGACTTGACTTTGATGTTACATAGCAACGACCAGTGAAGACTATAACAAACTGGGAAGTTTTTGTGCTTGCCGAACTATTTGTAGTGTGTGTAAATTAACGGTACTATTATAATCATTTGTAGTTACGATTCATAACTCTTCAGTAAATCGAGCAACAAATACAAACACAGTGTCTAGTCCCTAACACGTGACAATATGTTACTTACAAGCCAAAATCCCAGCAACTCCCATGACTGTCAACAAAATCAGCAGAAAACTCGCAAGAGCGGCTCTTTCTTCGTCCTGAAACAATGTCCGGAAAAAAATAGATTTATGTTTTATTACACTAACAACAAATAAATCTACAAACTAGCAAGACTACAAAAAAACAATAGTAGTAAAACCTGCAAGAAAGGGCAAAGGGATGTCACAGTGCATGCGGCGCCGACAATATGGTCATACAAGATCATATTTTAACAAACCGTATGTGTGTGTAAAATGTGGTCAGTCGCACAGCACACAGAGCTGCAAAAAATCTAAAAACACGCCTGCAAAATTTGTAGTCTGTGGAGGTGCACATCCGGCAAATTACATAGGATGTGAATATTATCACAGTTTATTGAAACAACCAAATAACACTAAATAAACTTTAAACACTTAAATAACTTTAAGCCGTGGGTCCCGTGTCGTACCTTTACGGCACGTAAAATAACCTCATCATCTAAGGAGGTCACCGAGCCAAATTCAAGGACATTTCCCGCCCAACAGTAGTCTCTAACGCCTCTGATAGACGAGGGAAGCATTATAGATACCGCTAAGCCAGTAGAGGCCGAACTCGCTGGCTTGGTCGGGACTGATGGTAAGCACCACTATCAGTACGTTATAGAGACTGGTACAATATCATAGAGGGAAGCACAATGGACCAATACTGGTCTAAGTGCATGGGGAAACCACCCTCTCCAATAACTAACTAATTACATTCTTAATTAAAATGTACTACATGTAAACGAACTGCATTACTGTTAACACAAGATGATACAGAAGTGACCCCCGCATCAGCATACGCCAAGGACGACATCTGGTCTTTCTGAGGGACAAGCAAACTGCAGGTCACTTGAAACCCCCAGAACGGAGCAGGAAGTATCCCGCTGCGTTTTCTGGGAATTTCAATGCTTAACTTCGACGGTGCGGGTCTCTGAAAATTGGAGACTTGACAGTTATGAGTCGCAATAATTTCCAGAGAAGCGTGCCGAGCGATCGTTAGCATACCATCATTTATTTGAGAACTGTCAGAAGGACCGTCTGATACTTAGGCCCAAATTTACATGGATCTTGTTAGGGATAGGCTGAATGTAAATGAGACTAACACCCAAATTTTAGGTTCAGCCAATCAGCAATATTTCAGAGGAGAGGAAACCAGGCGTCCCCGGAACCGTCAGGACTTCGGGCTCTCCAGAGCAGACAGTCACAAAAAGGGAATAACAGGAGGGAGTCGCCTTAGTGAGTAACAGGAGTGACCACCCGGACGTTAAATAGGTGTTGGCTAAGTCCGTTACACGAATTCAAAAGTGTAATAGGTACTTCCCGTTCACATCTGCAAATAAACAGCAACAGTGTTGAGTGATGTTTGTGTTTCATGTGTTTTCTGTTTCCTTTGCGAGTAAGGCCCAGAAGTCGCCCTGAGACAGAATCTCATCCTAACGTCTGAACAGTCTCAATCCCAAACCCCAGCCTATCCAACTCCCAACCTTTGCTTTCCCCATTCCAAGTTCGTGGATTTCACCCAAGTCCACTGGCGCCCACACAAATACAAATACAAATTCAAATTCAGGGTAATTCCACACCCCAACCTGAACCAGACGACAACATGGAAGCGGCGGATGAAAGTGGAGACCAACGTGTAGGCGAACGTGACAGCTACATAAGTGCCGACAAACTAGTGGGGCTAGAAGTCTCACTTAGCGGTTAAACAGTTAAATAAGTGATGAAGAAAAAGCTATGTTTGCAGAATATCTTGCTACAGATTTTACACAATATGATCACCATACTGATAAAGAAATAGAAAGACAAATACCTGAAAATATTAGCATTATACCAGAAACAAAATTTTTGCAGTTAAAGAAGTGCAAAAAGTAATAGCATTCCTAAATTCAAGAAAAGCACCTGGCATTGACGAAGTGACTCCCATAATGTTAAAAGAAAAGTAAAAAAAAAGGGTTAGTACTTCTCACATACTCTTATATATTTAATGCTATTCTCAAACATAAATACTGGCCAAATCAGCTAAAAACAGCAGAAATAATCCTGATCCCCAAACGGGGCAAAAATCTTATTAGAGTGTCATCCTATCGTCCTATAGGTTTCTTACCCATCATATCTAAGCTCCTCGAAAGACTTCTCTTAAAAAGAATATGGTCTGACCCAAACACAGAAAAATGGATACCACCACATCGATTTGGTTTTAGAGAAAACCACTCCACTGTACAGCAAATACAGAGAATAACACAAAAAATACACCAAGCATTAGAAAATAAAGAATACTGCACATCGGTCTTCCTCGATGCAAGTCAAGCCTTTGATAAGGTATGGTATCCAGGACTACTATACAAAATAAAGAAATATGTGCCCATCACTTCTTTCCACT